AAGAACCTGATGCTGGGAAAGACTGAAGGCAGGAGGAGAAGCGGGTGACAGAGGATGAGATGGTTAGATGGCATCACCCACACAATAGACGTGAGTTTGAGCAAGCTCTGGGAGGTAGTGGAGGCAGACGAGTCTGGAGAGCCGCAGCCATCCATGGGGTCGCAGTCAGACACAACTTAGTGACTGAGCAACAACATTAATGTTTTGGCTCTTATAGTAGTGAGAAAGATCACATACCTGGGTAATAGATGGATTCATTAAATCGGGGGAGACCTGGGAAAATCTCAACAGAAATGATGAGTGGGACCGCCAGCATTATGGCATTATCAGACAAATGTCAAAGCATAGGAACTGTTTTAATTAGGGGATTTTGTCAATCACTTGTAGGTATCCTAGCTAGTCTTAGGGTGGCTTTCACCTTTTCCTGGATTTTACTTCCATGAACTCCTCCAGATTCTCACTAGGAAAGTCAAGACTAACCCCCTCCCAGCTCTGGCAGAGGAAAGAATTGCATACCTTTAAGTACATATGTTAGAAAACAGGGGCTTCCCTGGTGGCTCAGCGGTAAAGAATCTGCCTGCAATACAGGAGACTCAGGTTCAATTCCTGGGTCAGGAAGATCCCGAGGAGAAGGGAATGACTACCCACTCCAGTACTCTTGTGTGAAAAATTCCATAGACAGGAGCCTTTGAGCTACAGCCCACGGGGTTATCAAAAATTCCGACATGACTGAGTGACTCACTTTTCACTTTTCTTTCAAGTACATGTATTAGAAAACATGCATGCATTCATGCATGCTAAGTCACTCCAGTTGTGCCTGTCTCTTTGTGACCCTGTGGACGGTAGCCCTCTAAGCATCTCTTGTCCATGGAATTCTCCAGGCAAGAATACTGGAGTGGGATGCCAGGCTCTCCTCCAGGGGATCTTCCTGACCCAGGGGATCTTCCTGACCCAGGGATGGGACCCACATCTCTTATGTTCACAGCACTGACAGGCAGTTTCTTTACCACTAGTGCCACCTGGGAAGCCATAATTATATATAATTATGATAAATGTTGTTGTTGAGTGGCTGAGTCATTTCTGACTGTTTGAGGATCCCCATGGACTGTAGCCCAATAGTATGTAACATATGTTTGGATTTTATTAAAATATATTTTTTAAAAAGGGAAAAGGTAGCAAGGCAACTCCTATTTATGTGTATAAAAAATGTTATTAGAAGGATAAGTGAAAGATAATCTTTAATTCACTCCACAGCTTGTAAGGGCACAATTTTTCTTTGGTAATAAAAATGTTTGCCATCACAATTCAAGATGAAATTTCTTTGAGTAGAGTGTTCTGGGAATATGACTTGGAGGTCATATGTTTACCTGTTAAAAACTAAACAAATCAAAACCAAAATCTTGAACTAATAAAGAGGCAATGGAGAATAAAAACATGAGTTATGGTAGAAATACCAAAGTCAGACGTCTCTACCGAAGTCAGACNCCACAGGGGATTGGTTTCAGGATCCCCACAGATTCTGAAATCCCAGGATGCTCAAGCATGACATAGTATTTGCATATAACACACACATCCTCCTGTATACTTTAAATAATCTTCAGATGACTTATAGCACCTCTCTCTGACCTCTGATTGCTCAGTCATGCCTGACTCTGTGACGCCAACCCCTGTAGCCCACCAGGCTCCTTTGTCCATGGGATTTTCCAGGCAAGAATACTGGAGTGGGTTGCCATTTCCTTCTCCAGGTGATCTTCCCAATGCAGGGATTGAACCTGGGTCTCCTGCATTGTAGGCAAACACTTTACCATCTGAGCCACAAGGATGGTAGAATATATATTAGTAACAGTCTATACCCATAAAACTGCCTTTTTAAAGCCCATCAAAATATTAAGCAATTTTTGAATAGCACTGCCTTAAAATAAAATATATTTATTTACACATTTTTAAGCACACAATTCATTTTTCAAAAGCCATATTACTATCTCCACTGAAGGATGTGTCTGCATATTCTGACAAACTTTGGATAGAAAAACTGAGGAAGAATATGCTGTTTTATAAATGATAAATGATCTTCCATGCATACTATTGTAATCATTATATTTGGTGTTTCATAACTTCCATAGATGTCTAAGAGGAGACACAACTGAAGATATATTTTCAAAAAGATTTCTCAGTGCTTTTGAATCATTGCCAGGTGCACATAAAAGGATCCAGGTGAGTGGAGGTCTAGACCACAGGTATTTTATAGGTGTGTTAGGGTGTAACTCATGTTCCTGATTGCAGAGGGAATAAAAACCACTAGAAGCACTTGTGTCCAAAGACATTCTCAGGAAAGAAACACAGCAGTTCCACGCGGTCCCTCTCCCTGTCCAGAGGATGAAATCCCAGGAGTGAACCACAGTCTTGATCAGCAGCTCAGCTGGAACTGCTCACTGCCTGTCTGCTTAAACTGGTTATTTTTGTGCAGGCTCAGAGAACTTTGGTAACAGAGATATGCCCCAGAAGGCCACCTCTACAGGTGACACCAGCTGCTATATTTATCGTCATCCTTAACTTCTTCTGAAAGGCAAAAACTGATTGTTTTTTGGCAATGTGAGCATTTTTAGAAAATAAAATTCAGATATTGTTGTTCAGTCACTAAGTTGTGTCTGACTCTTTGTGACCTCATGAGCTGCAGCACTCCAGGCTTCCCTGACCTTCACCATCCCCCAGAGTTTGCTCAAACTCATGTCCATTGAGTTGGTGATGCCATCCAGTCATCTCATCCTCTGTTGCCCCTCTCCTCCTGCCCTCAAGTAAAGACAAAAATTCTAGTATTCGAGTTTGTGTCCACTACCATAAATCTGTTATACAAAACCATGTTTCATTATCTTTAAATTTAGTTTCTGAGCCTGTGTGCAATTTAGTTTTTATATCCTTGAATTCTAAAGTAGGAGCATGTAACACAATTTTCATAGAGTGGATTTAACTAGTTCACGTTAAAATCATTCAGACTGGGTGAAAATTAGAAAAGATCAAAGCCTATAATATTTCAGATGAGTACATTGTAAATAAAATAAGTATTCGACTATTTGAATAAGGGGCAATATCAACTTGACATTCTGTGAGTTCTATTTGGTACTAAACAAAGTCCATGGAATTCTCCAGACCAGAATACTGGAGTGGGTACCCTATCCCTTCTCCAGTGGATCTTCCCCATCCAGGAATCAAACTGGGGTTTCCTGCATTGCAGGGGGGCTCTTTACCAACTGAGCTAAGAGGACAGTGCAAAACCTTCAAAAAGAGGTGATTGTGTGCGCTCAGTCTAACTGAAAGTACAGAGAAACTTGACCACATATAAATGAAATATTTTAAGAAGAAAATAATTGTGCAAGTAGATCTGAACAAAATAGTGAAATGTTATGTGCTCTTTTGCATTTTTAAGATTGACTGTCCAATATGTTTTCATATTTAACAGTTAATGCCAACACTTTTACAGATCTCTGGATTTATCAACATTTCATTATTAAGATTTCAGAGGCAGAACCCATGGGAGATCCCATTCCTGAATTTGAATGTATATTTGGAAATCCATTGTACAGAGTTTGCTTAGATTATAAACTTCAGGAAAGCAAGTAGTGCTTCAAGCTTGCTCAGTTTCTGGCACACAGTAGGTGTCAACAAATATGTGAAATAATGAATGAATTTATCTGGGTGTAGAAAGTGTTTTTTCTCTAGCATTTCATTCTTTTTGTAGTGAATAAATATGCTGTTTAACGTTTCTAATTTATTTTCTGCTGGAAAATTCTTTTTAATCTTGAATATGTAAATGAAAATGTGTATAAATTTTGATTGAATGAATCCCACAAGAACATGCCTTATGTATTTGAAAGAGGGTTAAGGAAAAGAAAAAGAGTCATGAATAGGCTTGATGTCTTTTGCTAATTGTTTTCTGTTAGCAATTCAAGGAGAAAAGATCTGAAACTGACAGGGAGCCATATGCTCATCTTTGTTGAAAGTAGATGAAACTATTTTTTTTTTTTTGCTTGCCATGCATGAGAAGAGAAACAAAACTGATACTTGTAATACAATATTTTCAAAAACCTGCCATGGAAAAGACTATCAGTTAGTAGAATAATTTTTGTCATGAAAAGCTGATTATAAAATCACACTGTTTCTCTCAGCATCCCAATAAAAATCGCATTTTCATGCATTACAGTCTACTAGGTAAGCTTGAAACTGCATTGTTTAAGGAAGCCTATAAAGCCTCCCCAGATTTTTGCCACAGTTAACCTGAGGTTATTTGTTACTTTACTATGGAAACTATTGTAATAAAAATTTCTAACATAATGAAACTAACAAAATTAAAACATCTTGAATAAAATGAAATACAGCAAAATTCATCCAGTAGACTCACCATATATCAATTGTGTAATACGCCTAGAAGTGAAGGGATCTCATCACATCTTTGTGGGTCTGTCTGTCTGTGTTTTCTCTCTCCTGCAATTTCCCACTTCACTTCATGTCTATTACATTCTTTTATCCCTAGTCTGGAACCAAACTATGATACCACATGAAGAAAAGGTGCTTTAATAAAATATCATATTACCACTTAAATGTCAAGGAATATAAAGGTTGTTTCAAAATATTGCAGAAGAAATAAGAAGGGAAATATGTTTTGGAGGTGCAGGTAAGTCTGGCTGTTCAGTTTCATTTTCCGTTTGTCTTGACAGGCATTGCTGCCCACACTGTTCGGTGCCGAACGCTGGCAGCTGCATCAGACTCACAGCAAAGAGGAGAGAGAGGGCTTCCATCTGCATGATAAAGCAGGAAGTCAGTGATGCCTCTGGGACAGTGACTCTGAGCTGTTTGAAGACTGTTGACCACATCGGGGTGTGCGCGCAACGCTGCTGCATGCCCGTCACCAAGGCGTGTCCAACACTTCACGAGCCCCGTGGACTGGAGCTTGCCAGGGCCCCGTCCCTCACCATCTCCCGGAGTTTGCCACTTTTTGGAGATATGCTAAAATACTCTCTGCCCTTCTCTGCTTCTCAAATCTCTGCATCATTCAATATGGGCATTTGAATAAGGTATTCACACTGACTTAATTGCACAAATAATCACAAAGCTGAATATGTGTGCTGAGTCAATAAAACATTTCAGAGCAGGAGTCCAGAAAACTGATCACAGAGTATTTTCAAGTATTGTCTCTCTCCCTCTAGTCAAGTTCCTGTTTGCTTTTTAAAAAAATGTCCTACCTCATGCTCCCTTCATCTGTGAAGTGAATTCACCACAGGTAAAAGGGATGAGATTGTGAAATATGAAATATGACATCTCTGGGGTTGTATCTTGGCACCATCAACTTACTCAGGAACACATAATATGAAAAATGTGAACAGATTTAGCTCTATGATTTACTGAAAACAATTAGATTCATCAATTGATGTAACACAATTTACCTGTACTCTCCTGAAAAAGTTACTTTCTAAAAATACCCCCACCCTGCCTTTCTTTTTGCCTGTTTACTTCTAGGAAGAATGTCTTATTCAGGCATTTGTTTGGAGCTTGGATTCTGTTTCCCAATCTTCTTCAGATCTTAACAGAAATTTAATTGTTGTTGTTATGTATGTATATTCTTTTTCTATTGTTGTTACTGAGTCCCTCAGTCACGCCTGACTCTTCATGACCCCATGAACTGCACACACCAGGCTTCCTTGTCCTTCACTATCTCCCCGAGTTTGCTCAAACTCGTGTCCATTGAGTCGATGATATCATCCAACCATCTCATTCTCTTTTCTTCCTGCCCTCACTATTTCCCAGCATCAGGGTCTTTTCTGGAAGACTATGTAGACAGAGAAAATAAAAGACAAATTGTAATTTTTGTTTCACTTTTGTCAGAACGGAAACCTGTTAATATTCAGAATTTCATAAAATGGTCACATATATAAAACCCAACCAGCAGAGATCTCCAACTAAGAGATTTTATTGTATTGGTTGCCATATATAGGGCAACCAATTATCAAAACAAGAATGCTCACTCTAAGGGAATAATATTTTAAATAGTCCAGTCTTCTTGAAAATGAGAATTGTTCATGGTGACTGCTCTTTCATGATGTCCTAGTCTTTTTCTTAATGACCAATCTGTATATTATGAATTTCTACTCTTGTCTACCTTTTATCTATTTCTTGTCCCATAATGCTGTCTTGAATGAAGTCTCATTGATCAATAGTCTCTACTATCTCTTGATATCGGAACCTTAAATTATGTTTTTTTAATCTTCACTTCCCAGGTTGCACAGGGTAAAGAATCTGCCTTCCAATGCAGGAGACACAAAAGACACGGGATCCATCCCTGGGTCAGGAAGATCCCCTGGAGAAGTAAAGAGCAACCACTTCAGTGTTCTTGCCTGGGAAATCCTATGGACAGAGGAACCTGGTGGGCTACAGTCCCCGAGGTCGCAAAGACTCAGACATTACTGAGAGACTGAGCGCACACAATCACCCTCAGTCACAGTGTGTTATACTGGCTCTGCACCTCTCCAAAGCTTGTTTACAGTAACATGTCAGCATACTGACTCGTCCTTTTCTCTGCAGGAATTCCATGCATCTGTGAGCTCCTTCCCCCAGCGGTGGAATTGTCTTGTCTCCACACTTGACTCAGTTGGAGAATCACATTCAGGTATTTCTGATTGAGGGATGTTGCTGAAACTTGCAAAATTTGTGTCCTCAGAAGCCTCCATGCCTAGAGTTTGTGCTCCCTCTCCCCTAAAACTTTGTTTTACTCTCCTTTTGAAATTCCTAGGACTTCAGTTGCAAAAGAATTTCCTCTCTATCATTTTTATTTCAGCAGCAGAGTGTCCCCGACACTGCCACCTCTGATGTTCCATTTCCATTCTGCACTTCTTTAATGTATATGATGCTGAATTTTGAAAACCTTGAACTGCTCACTGAATGGTTCCCTTTTCTTCTGCACCACACGTAGGGATAAAGCCATAATCTTTGCTTTCATTTTTTTTCTTGCATGACCTTCCAAATTGCACCCAGTGAAGCTCCTGATGAACCTGTATGAAATATTTCTGATTCTGCAAAAACTAATTATTTTTTTTCCAAATGCACATTGCCATTATTAAGGACTTTCTCTCTCTAAGTAAGGTAATCTCCTCTATTGGTCTATTCCAACATCCCAATTCTCTTGTGTGTTTCTCTATAGTTTTCCAAGCAATTCTTCAATTCTCTGATACCCACTGGATATCCTATAATTCAATTAAATTCTGATACTAAGGACTCAGTACCACAAGACTTTCCTCACTTCAGACGCCAGTCACAAATGGGGTCACTAGTTTACCATGTTCCTCTCTGGGCAATCCTAAATTCAGGGGTTCTGATTGGCATTTCCCTGATCATCCGTGACGCCGACTATCTTTTCATATGCGTATTGTCTGTATTTCTTTTTTGGACAAGTATCTGTTTAGGTCTTCTGCCTATTTTTCAACTGAGTTGTTTGTTTCGTTGTTGTAGAATTGTATCAGCTATTTGTATATTTTGGAAATTAAGCCCTGGTTGGTCGCATCATTTGAAAATATTTTCTCAGAGTCTGTAAGTTGTCTTTTCATTTTGTTCACGGTTTCCTTTGCTGTGCAAAAGGTTGTGAGGTTGGTTAGGTCCCATTTGTTTATTTTTGTTTTCATTTCTATTGCTTGGGAGACTGACCTAAGGAAACTTAGTATGGTTTATCAGCACGTCAGGGAAGGTTTGCCTATGTTCTCTTCCGGGAGTTTAACGGTCCACGCTTTAAGTCTTTACACAATTCTGAGTTTGTGTGTGTGTCTGGTGAAAGGCTGTGTTCTAACTTCACTGATTCACATGCACAGCTCACCTTTTCCAACACGGCTTGCTGAAGAGACCGTCTTGTTCCTATTGTATATTTTTGTCTCTGTGGTGGCATGGTTGCCTCCTTTGGTGACCAACCCCCATCCTGAAGTTGTCTGGGGGCCCCAAGAGTCACTCATCAGCATAAACCCAGGGATGGTCAGAAGGAACTCATTATAACAAAGACAGTCCTGTCAGTCAGGACATTCCAAGGGTTTTAGGAGCTCTCTGCCAAGAACTTATGACAAAGACCATTGTACAGGCTTTTGTTTTTCTGTTGTATCACAGTTCCTTTGACACTTATTCTATGCATTTACTGGAATATACTAGTTTTATAGACGTGCAGTGATGGGCATTGATTTTAACACATTGGAGAGAAGTAGCCCTTGAGTTCTCATGGAAAAGTTAAATTTAAAAAAAATACCATGCATGTGAAACTCATCAATGAAAGCAACTACTGTTATCTTATGGGAAAATAATAAGGACATGTCTGTATTTTTATCCTTTTTCTTGAATAAAATGGCAGTCAATAATCTGTTGCCTGGAAATTATGTCTATATTGTAAAAAATACTTATCAAAAATATTATAAAATGACATTTCTTCATGGATTCCAAATATTAAACTATATTCATTATGTCCTGGTTCTTGAGATCTAACTGGTTCACCTCTGTAAGTAGGTTAGCTGAAAAAAGGGAAGCCATGAACAGTGACATTTTTTAAAGGTCATCACCCCTCACCTTTTAACTTTGATGTCCATATGCTAGTTCTTTTGCAGGCGTTGGCTTCTTGCCACCTGCTGTACTATTCAGAGTTACTTCTGAGTGGCCACACAGTTCCTGAAGTTTGCAGTTGGAGATTTGTCTCTGTACATGTACTGTGGTAGGGCGTGGTGTGTTTCATCTCTAAAATGGTTCTAGGCTTCATTTATAGCTCTGATCTTGACAATTTCCAATTTGCTTACTTGGGAAACTTCTCAGTGAATAAAATCTCAGTGGCCTAGCTGGGGTATGGCTCTTTCTTCAATACTAAGTCTTAGGCATAAATCACAAAAATGACATTTATATTAAATCGTGCTTATTTTTTTAATATAACTCTTTTTCACAATCAGCTAGGAACTCTTTGATATTAAGGTTTTATCTTGGTCATTTTAATATACCAAACTTACCACAGAGCATGGTGTATTGTTTTTGCATAAACTAACCAATGAGTAAACATGTAGATTTCAAACATGAGACAGTGCTACTATGATATAATATTTATCTTTTTTTTCCTCCCCCCCCAAACTTTATTTATTTTTTTTTTATTGGGGTTTAGCCAATATTGCAGTAGTTCCAGGTGAATAGCAAAGGAACTCAGCCATACATGTACATGTAAACGGGAAGTTCACTGGATTGGAAAAAACTTTGTCTTCAAACTGAATTGTGGACAGGAAGATGATGGTTAAGTAAAGTCAAGAGAAATAAAATACTTATATAAAATATATTAGCCTAGAAAGTATGCATGTTACTTGAGGAAAACAGTGGTTTTACTAATTAGATTTGCTACCTGGTGGGGCTTCCTAGGTGGCTCAGTGGTAAAGAATCCCCCTGCACTGCAGGAGACACAGGAGATGCTGGTTCGTTCTCTGGGCTGGAAGATCCCGTGTAGAAAGAAATGGTAACCCACTCCAGTATTCTTGCCTGGAGAATCCCATGGACAGAGGAGCCTAATGGGCTACGTCCAATTAGCACTTGAATGAGCAGATCACCAAAAATGATAGCATATCACACATTATTTGGAATTGTGAAGCATGGTATAATAATTCATATTTTGAAATAAATTTAGGTTCATCAGTCTGAACTTAAATCAATCTTCATTTTCTCCCTCTTAATATTGACTTTCAAATTAAGGGATATTATCAGAATAGTTTCCTTCAAAGATAAGATTAATCTTTATTTTTCAGTGTAAAATATTGCCAGTAGATCAGTTATATCCCTTTAGATTAGCTGCTAATTATTTTACAAATAAAATCCAAGTTGTTGCTGTCTGCAAATATACCATACGAATTAAAGTATTCATTGCTTTTGAAAAACTTACGTTATTAATATGCTCATCTCGGTGTACTTGTTTATTTGCTTTCATTATATGTGATTTATGCAATTCATTAGATTGCAATAATTATCACTTAAGACTCATAAACCTCTTGTTTATGCAAACTTTGCTTGTGTTGATGAAGTGTATTCTGACTCACAAGCCAGGTTGGGTAAGTAGTATATATAGGATAATGAACCATTCAAATTATCTTTAAAAGATAGCTAGATGCAATGTATTTTATTTCTGGTAAAACCATAACTGGAGAAATATGCTCATCTCGGTGTACTTGTTTATTTGCTTTCATTATATGTGATTTATGCAATTCATTAGATTGCAATAATTATCACTTAAGACTCATAAAACTCTTGTTTATGCAAACTTTGCTTGTGTTGATGAAGTGTATTCTGACTCACAAGCCAGGTTGGTTAAGTAGTATATATAGGATAATGAACCATTCAAATTATCTTTAAAAGATAGCTAGATGCAATGTATTTTATTTCTGGTAAAACCATAACTGGAGATGATTTATGAAACAATCATGTTGTACTGGGTATACTGGGGAACTACAGGAAAAGAAAATACTTAGGCCAATTTTGGTTTATTACCCACAGATTAAACACAAAGCTGGAATTGGTAGTCGGTAGCTTTGTGGTAGCTTCCACACACAAAATGGAAGTGAACTGAAATTACATCTGACTGCTGTATTTTTCCAAGCACTGCAGTTATCATAGTGAAAGCTGACTTAATCCATCAGCTGAAACAACCAGGGCTTCCCTTGTGGTTCAGCTGGTAGAGAATCTGCCCGCAATGTGGGAGACCTGGGTTTGATCCCTGGTTTGGGAAGATCCCCTGGAGAAGGGAAAGGCTACCCACTCCAGTTTTCTGGCCTGGAGAATCCCATGGACTGTATAGTCCATGGGGTCTGTGAAGAACCGGACACGACTAAGCAACTCTCACTGAAACAACCAGGAAGTTATAGTACACAGATTTAAAAAATAGATCCTAAAAGGATAAATTCTTATCCTCTTAATTCAACATTTGAATTTTTTTTCTTTGTGTTCAAATTTCCCCCTTGTTTTTTTTCCCAAGGTCATCGAGATGCTTAAAGAGTAGACTCCAGCCTTGGTCTCTCCAGCAAAAATGAACAGCTAAGCAGCTGGCAGCGAGGGAAAACTCCTCCAAGGCAGTTCAGGAGGCCACTGGAGAAACTTCAGCCACACAGTGGAACAAAAAGCCCTGGGAATAACCGCACAGAAAGGAAGGAAGAAGAGCTTCCGGTTGCCGGTGTGGTCCCCTTGCCCCCAGGAGCACCACGCAGCGCAGAGGACAGAACTGGCAGGGATTCCTGCCCCGCGCCCCAAGGAGGCAGAGCGAGTGAGCAAGCACCTTTTCCTGCTCTCCAGGCGGCGCTCCTGGAGTGTTGCGAAGCTGAGACCCAGAACCAGCGAGGAGAGCGGGCGGCCCGCGTGGATCACGCAGTGGGGTGAACCCTGTTCCCAGGAAGAACCCCACTGGCAAATTTCCCACCCTCACCCCCGACCCCCGCTCCCAGGTATAAGCGCCTGCAGGCGCCAGTCGCTGAGTCCCTGGCCCCTGCCTGCCCGGTCCCTCGGCTCACCTCCCGTCCCACCCCACGCCCCCCACCCCGCTCCCAGCAGCCGTCTCCGTCTGCGTGTCTGCAGCTGCTCAAGTGCAAAGTGCCAGGTAGACAAAGCCGGTGGTGCATGCTGCCGCCATCAAAAGCGGCCTGAGGACATCCCCCAGGAGAATTTCAGACCATGGCGGCATCGCATCCACATACACCTCCAAGTAGTGTTTGGCCGCAGTGACCCTAGACACCACCATTTATAGCAAGAATGAACTAAGCACAAATATAACTGAAAAAGCTACAAAAATACAGCCCAGCAGACTCAATCTATCCCAATTTAGTTTCTCCACATTTCTTCCCAAAGTTGATAGGGAATGCCAGCCAAAATAGAAGTATGGTAGGAAAATGGTTTGAATGTATAAAAGGAAGTGATCTTAACTCATTGCAGTTAAATTTTTTTTTTTTTTTTTCAGTTTACAAATACAGTGGACTACGTAGAGATATTATTTGGGTTTCCTCCCAGAGTTTTGGATGGCTCCGTGGAAGTAAAGGCTTCCCCAGTGGCTCAGTGGGTAAAGAATCCGCCTGCAAACTGGAGACATAAGAGACCCAGGTTTGATCCCTGGGTCGGGAAGATCCCCTGAAGAAGGAAATGGCAACCCACTCCAGTATTCTTGCCTGGGAAAACCAGGGACAGAGGAGCCTGGGAGTTTACAGTCTAAAGGGTCACAAAGAGTTGGATGTGACTAAGCACACACGCACACACACGTAAAGTAGGATTCCTAAAATTTGTTTCATTAGCTCTTGATTATATTTGCCTCCAGGTTGCATTAAAACTTCTGCAGAACAGAGAAAAAGATTAAGATTAACAGAGCAAATCTGCCCTAGCTAAGAAAAAACAAAAAATCCTATCAACTGCTAACGTCTTTTGTTCCTTTTTTTGCTCAAAACTGCATGTGGATTACATAGAGTAAATCCACTAGAAATTCTTGTAAAAAATCTTGTTTTTTCCATCCTCTAACATTTAACTAAATAAGCCCTAACATTTAAGCATACCAAGATTTTCTTCCAGGTACCTGGAATTCTACTAAGAACAAGAGCCAACTGAATTGATCTAACACCCATTTTTTTTTTTTGCCCTTGAAAGCATTTTCTCTTATATGGGTGAAATCAAAATGCTTAGATAAAAATATGTGTCATTAAATATACAAAGATACAGTTTATCTATGTTAATAATTGTGTCTAATCTACTAATTTAAAAATGTTATCATTCTAGATACAATAGTATATAGAAAGACTACATAGTGAAAAGAAGATGTGGTTTGAATATATATCTATGCAATGCATGCCAAATTATTTTCAATTAAATAATAGCATATGATGAGAAAACAGAATTTTTATTTGATGAAAATAACCAGTTTTAATATGTGGAAACTGTGTGTCAAGAATAACTGAAATTACAAGCTCATATTCCAACAAATGGCTTTTTATTCCCCTGTAAAAATGCTGAGGATACTGAATAAAAATAAAAGCTGAATCCAAATTTGGCACTTAAAATGGAGCAACTTCTGTCATAAGAATTGTCAGAGCAATCAATTAGAGACAAGAAGTTAAAAAGTCACATTTTAATGAGTATTTTTAAAGGTCTGAGCTTTGCCATGGAAAGAAATCAATGCTGATTTTATATCTTTCTTACTCTCCTAAAGTTTCAATACTCAGTTAAAAATAGAAAACAGATTTTTTAGAACACCCATGAATTCCAAATTTTCATTCAATCGATACTGATTAGATTTAGCTTAACTACAATTTGTATCGATTTTTACCAGACCGTCTTTTTTCTTATATTTTTTTTCTGGACAGATCTCTACAATAGGAATTGTTTTAATCTCATTTTCTGACAGACCAGCTACTATGGTGCAATTTAATTTTTCAAATACTGATATTTTTAACTTCTACAGTTAGGGCAAATTTACATTTTGAAATAAATGATATTGTAATTCTCTAGCTCAGATTTTCAGTTGGGAATTTCCGTATTTGACTCCCATCTAGTGAGATGATGTTTATCATCCATCTGAATCACCATACTTTCATCTCTAACTGAATAATAAGACTAGACTCTAACATTCTGTAGATTTTAGGATCTATACATATATATATGTATATATGCCTTTGGCATGCTAATGGACTCTGATAAAACTTTGGCCTTAGGATCATAGATGAGTCAGAAGATGTCATCAATCAGAACAAGTCTGCAGCAATCTAGGGACCAGCTGAAAAATATGCTTTAGTTCCATTCTATAACATCTATGCCAGAAGGTCACAGAAATCTGAGGAGGGGAAGACCTGCATTTATAATGCTGTAAATCTTGCTAAGGGAATCTACTTTTATTTTGCTCTTTCCATCTGTTTTCTAGGCAGTTGCTTCCGATTGATGATTTGCTATTGTAGTTCCTCAAATATCTTGATTCAGGTGATTTTTCCAATAGTTCTTAATATTAACTCTGTATCACACTTGCTAAATATCAGTGGACAGTCCTAAAATGTAAAGCAAGCAAATAAACAAAACTAACACACACACATACACACACCCCCATAGTATTGGAAATAAGCTATGTACAGAAATAGCAATAACTGAGTTGAGTCCTTAGATAACCGTCTCAGATAAAATTAGAGACAAACATGAGACAGCTAAATGATAACATGAAGAAGGTCAACATCTTCAAACATGATAGACATTTGATTTACTCACATCCTATTTCACAAAAGTAAATGTAATTCATTTTCTAATACTCTGATACCAAGTAAAATAAGGTACTCTGGTTATGAATAAAGTATATATAATAACACCAACAAGTACTTTAGCAACTTTAGCAAATCTTTTAAGTTATTTATGGTAGAACCTATAATATACATGCCCAGAGGGAACTCAGCAATAATTTAGCCACAAGGGGGCTTGTAAGATGACTATAAGGACATCATGGAAGTTCAAAGAACTATTCCAAGGTAGAAGGCTCAAAATTTCTTACAAAATTTATGAAAATATTTAGAGAAATCATAATATATAAAATAGGTAAATGTGCTTTTACTTTCACATGTTTCTGTATGTTAGTAAAACATTGTCATGACTGTTGTCCTGAATTTTGTAAACTAGATTATTTTCAGTAAAGAAGATATTTTCCCAAAAAGAATTATGCATAACCACACACAAACACATACCCACAGATGTGTCAAAATACGTTACTGTTTTTTACATACTTCATACAATGCTCAATATAATTTCTTTTTCAACAGAAGTATTAAGCATCATTTCAAATGTTCACCTTAGTATTTTAGTAGTTCTTCTATCTCAGTGGTCATCAGTATTTATGCATGCTGAAACAGCTGAGTGAAGCAAGAAAATTATCTTAATTTTAAGAGAAAGGCTCAAAAGCCCTATGATCATCAAAGTGAAGGGAAAAGTATGAGTCTATGTTTTAACTATCCACAGTTCTCCTTCCCAAACTCCTGGGAATCACTGATTTTTTTTTTTTTTTTACTGTTTTACCTTTTTCAGAATGTCAAACAATTGGAATCATATTATATAATCTTTCAAAATTCAATCTTTCACTTAGAAATGTTCAATTTCATGCATCTGTTTTGTAGCTTGATAGAGAACTTATTATTGTTGAATAGTATTCCATTGTATGGATATACCAAAGTTTGTTTACCCATTCACCTATTTAAGAATATCTTAGTTGCTTCTAGTTTTTGGCATGTAGGATATTTTTTGTGTTTTTATAGATATAAAATTTTAAAACTTGTTAGTTAAATATGTGGGCATACAATTATAGGGTCATATGGCAAGACTATCTTTAGTTTTGTAAGAAACAGCCATAGTCTTCTTTTAAAACATAAGGAAAAACTCATCTTTAAGACTTGTCATTCTATCCCAGAAATGCAAGCATTTTCTGATATATGTAAGTCAATCAATGTGATATACTGCATTAACAAATTGAAGAATAAAAGCCATATAGTTATCTCAGTAGAATGAAGAAAAAGTTTTGAGATTCAACCATGAAGAATGTATGTATCTATCTATATATATTATACCAAGAAAACTATGGAGAAGGCATAGCAATCTTGTGTAAAAAATATCTACCCTGCATAGAAAATTCCAGCTGTCACTGAACATTTCAGGTGGATAGAGACACTGAAGTGAGTGTTATTCTAGGAAAATGATTGAACTATGTAGCCAGATGGACAAGCTGATAACATGAGTGACATGTGCAGAAGAGATGCAGGCAAGCTCTCGGTGTCTGATTTCTAGCCATTGGCTCCATCACGTCTCAGGATAAATGTAGAGAATCAGGGGGAAATCCTGATGGAACTTTTTGAAAATTTGACTTTTACACAGTAAAACAATGTTCCTCGAAATACAAATATGCAACACCCACACCAAAAATCCCTAAGATATTAATATACACTTGATAATTCAGATTCTCGGGCATCTAAATATTCCATAAATTCTGCTTGTGACACCAAAGTTCCTAATTTTTAAAACCAGGCATCCTAGGTGATACATAGTGAAACTTATATACTTGCAAAGTTTGACAGCTGCAGAGACATGAGAAACAGTTGACTGAAGTGATTCTCTGAACGCAGTCAAACAGCAGTTGGTGAAGGAACATAAGGAAATGTGACTATTTTATCCAAAACTGTGTTATCGCCAAGGAAGGAG